TTGAGCGCAGTGGATACTCGCGTCGCCAGGCATCTCTACTGCAAATGCATTACCGAGTATCTCCACGGCAGAACGAGGATACTCGTCACCCATCAGTTGCAATTTCTCAAACGAGTGGATCACATTGTCGTGATGGATCGAGTGAGACATGAACTCAAACGTTTAAAATTTATATCCAATTTTAATTACCTATTAAATACTTTTTGAAGAATAAACATCAAACATATTTAAATTAAATATCCTGATTTTGTTTCCTAAGGGTTCCGTGAAGTTGCAAGGAAGCTATAATGAATTAGCACGGTCAAATACAGATTTTATTAGAATAATAGAAAATATGTCTAACGCGCAGAAAAAGGAAATAAACATGAAGAAAGCTTCAGAAATGTCTATGAGGAGAATCAAGAGACGAGGCTCGGAATCATCGATCACAAGTTCTACTGTAATAAAGATAACCTACAATTATATTTATCGTCGATTATTTTTAATTAATATACGACTTCGTTAATAAAATGACAAAATTTTTTTATGTTACCTTTATCTAATCAAAATAGGCTTGTAATATAATATAATTTTACAAAAATTCTACGGCATGTTCACATTAAAGATACTTAATTAATATAGTTTTAACTAATGATGCAAAGTAGAAGAAATTCTCGAAATAAAATTGCGAAAGGAAATAAGTGGTTTTCGAATATAAATTAATTTTTTTAACACTGCTGTTTTAATGTTCTTAAAGATTATTACGCAATTATATAGCTTAATTGGATTGCATCCGTTGTAAAACATACACAAACAATTATATTATTTTTTTATTATACAGTACTCGGACATTGATAAATCAGATCATGTGGAGAACAGTCCGGCAGCCGAGATGATGGCTCATGGCCGAATATCGGGCAGAGTGTACAAGGAATATTATGGCAATTACTTCACAATGTTTATACTGCTGCTGATCTTTATTATCAACCAGGTCGCAATCACTGGTAATGATTACTGGCTCTCGTACTGGACCACCTTGGAGGATGTCAGGCGTATTGAAAACACAAGTGATGCCAAACAGTTCGCGCACATGTACAATAACAGCTTCCTTGGATCAATTTTTACATTGAACTCGGACGGTCTTCTCAGCACTATCGATGCCGTATATGTATACACGTTCTGCATCATCGCCTGCATTGCTTTTACGCTGTTCCGCAGCTACTTATTCATGGTGGTCTGCATGAACTCAAACTGCAATCTCCACAACAGAATGTTTTCAAATCTGTTGCAGGCGTGCATGTCCTTTTTCCACACAAATCCTTCCGGTGAGCAACATTTGCAAAATTCTGACAGATAAAGAAAATCGTTACGCTATAGAGAAGTTTGGAAGAGCATATAATAAAAATTTGTGTTAGAATATTTCGTATCATGCTTCGGAATTTTTCAAAATTTTTTTACATTTTTAAAACTATTTAGAAACTTTTATACATTTTTGATACAAAATAAGATTTTTCATTTTGATTATTCAAAAGTGCTTATAATAGCTATAGCTTTTCTAGAAATCTTTATAAATATAAATTAATTCTAAAATACTGTAAAATTTTTAAGATTTCTCATTTTATAATTTCCGAATAAAACTTACAAAGAAGAAAATTAAGATACTTTAAAAAATTTGTCTTTTAATTTTTAAAAATGTAAACTAAATTCTTATTCCTAGGTATACACATTGTTTTTTTGACGCCGTATACACACTGGGGTCTCGGAGACCCTATCAATATTTATTACTGTAACTCTAGTCTAAAAATGGACATATTTCAATTAATTTATAATTCAATCGATAGAGAATCGACTAAGGAATAAGCTTATAATGTTTAAAAGTCGATAGACTTAAGGAGCTGCAAGATATACGGGTTCAAAGAACAAGGAAAGTTCAAAAACGTGAAAAAATCTCGATTTAGAATCTTTTTAGAAATCATACTCTTTTGTTTATAGATTGATTTGAAAAATTCTTAAAATTCTGAAAGGGCATACTTGAAATAGTAACAAAAAAATTTGGCGATCCGATGTTTTAATTTTTTAACAAAACTGCAAACAGTCTCGGACTCTATGCTCACTTCAACTCTACACTGCTCGATTGTTGAGCAACAATTGCCGCGTGCCAACACGTCTTCCTACTGAGAAGATCCCAAATTGTTTTTACGTCAATATCCCAAACCCCTCCCCTTCCAATTTCAGAAATGCCAAACCGAGAAAATTTCCCCGGGATCCTGGAAACTCTAATGTGTATTTAGGATTAAAAATATTATGAGAATTACTTCCACTAAAGGTTACGACATTTTTTAAATGGAAGCAGGAATATTTCCGTCGAGTCCATATTATCAAATGGCATTTAAATCATTATTATTTAAAGAAATGCTTGATGATTATAAATTTATCCGCATATTCATATTATCGAATTATAAAATATCAAAAATATAAATCATTTCACATCGCGATTCCCATCTTTGAAATTTAATTTTCGGATTTTTGTTAAATCATGCTTAGATTGAGCGATTTTCGTGTTCCAGGGAGAATTTTAAACAGATTTTCAAAGGACGTAGGCACTATTGATGAAATGCTGCCCAAAACAATGTTAGAAGCGCTCCAGATATTTTTTACACTTTGCGGTGTAATGATCCTGGAAGTAATAATTAATCAATGGATGATAATACCGATAATAATTTTGATCGTTTTAATTTTCTTCGCGACAAAATACTTTGTAAAAGTTGTTCGGGATATCAAACGTCTCGAAGGTGTAAGTAAGTATTGAAATGAGTAATTCTTCATCAGAAAAAACGTCTCAAATATTTAACTTCTGGATTTCTGAATTATTTGACTGTCGCAATCGAATTCAAACTATTAAATTCTTATTTCTTCGAAGATGTAGAATCTGAAAATTCCTGATGCTTTTGAATTTATGTTTGCGTTTTCAGTGAAAAGTCCATTGTTCTCGCACGTGAACGAGACGCTAAACGGTCTACCAACGATTAGAAGCAGCGGCAATGAAATCGAGAAAATGATGCGAAAACAGTTCGATATGTTGCAAGATCATCACTCCGGAACGTGGTATCTCTTTCTAACATGTTCGACGACCTTCGGTATCTTTATAGATCTAATTATGTGCTTGTTCCTTGCCTGCCTTTGCTTTTTACTTATATTGATAAATGAAAATGGTAAGTTATACTTAATTAAAAAGTTTTTATTTATTGACAGTTAAAAATTTTTTGTGATTTTCTAAGGATATAGTGAAGATACCGGAAAAGACAACAAATTAGAATCAAATAATATGTATTATGGTTTTTAAGCTTTAGTTATGTTCGTTTTTATTTGTGATCAGTATTTTGAAAAAATATGTTTAGATAATCTTAAAAACATTCAAGCTGTTGCTTGATTTCTTTGTTGATTTTCAAGCTGCAGTCAGCATAGACGGCAACACATCGGGTTTAGCCATATCGCAATCGTTGAATCTGCTCGGTATCTTGCAATACGGCATAAAGATGTTTATTGAGGCTATGGCGCTAATGACTTCCGTGGAAAGAATTCTCCAGTATACGAATCTTCCAAAGGAAGAACCTGTTACTTCGGACAATCCACCGCCAACCACATGGCCGTCCCAAGGACAATTGATATTAAAGAACGTCAATATGAAGTATCGCAAAAATGATCCACTGGTTTTGAAGGTAATCCAAACGATTCTTACCAATATCTCTTATTCTTTATCTTATAAGTATTATCACGTTGTCGCGTTTCGCAGAATCTGAACGTATCCATTGAGCCTGGTTGGAAAATTGGCATAGTGGGACGAACTGGAGCCGGCAAGTCTTCCTTGATTTTGGCGCTCTTCCGCCTGTTTAATGAATATTTAGAGGGCGAGATCAAGATCGACGATCGAGACACAAGCACGGTGGGCTTGAGCGAGTTGCGCTCCAAGATCTCCATTATACCGCAGGAACCGGTGCTCTTTTCCGGGAGTCTGCGTTATAATCTGGATCCGTTTAATCAATACGACGATGTGAAGCTGTGGGAGGTGTTGCGGCAGGTTGTATTAAACAACGTCACACTGGATCACGATATCTTGTATGGTGGCCGCAACTTCAGCGTTGGCCAGAGACAGCTCATATGCCTGGCTAGGGCCATTCTACAGAATAATCGCCTGCTCGTTCTCGATGAGGCCACGGCCAACATTGATTCGCAGTGAGTCTCAACGGTTCTTTGAGAGTAGAATTGTGTTTAAATACCTTTTAATAAAGCATAGTGATTTTTATTGATTGTTGATTAGTAAAGAGTATTAAACTAACGTCGTCTAAACAGTTAAAAATTTTTTGTTTTTTTTAAATTATTTTGTATCCACGCAGTATGGTAAAATAAATGTATATTTATACACTTTTCAACATAATTAAAGCATCACTTACTCTA